TAACAAAAGGAATTCCGTCCTCGGAATTCGCTCTTACCTTCTTCCAAAATATCAGGAAACTGCGAGCGAATGACATCTTCCCGTTCCCAAGTAGACTCAGCCTCATTGTGATGACTCCACTGAACACGAACCAAAGGAATAACCTTATTACGAAGAATCTGATCTCGTCGGTCGACAATACGACACGGTGGCTCTAAATAAGTTGCATCCGGTTGCAACTCAATTTCCCCAACATCGATATGCTGATATCGATCCTCATCTCGCAGAAATTTCCGCAACATGGAAACATGAAACACGTTATGAACGCGATCCAAAGTATCTGGAAGTGCCAACCGATAAGCGACAGCTCCAACGCGATCCGTAATCATGAATGGACCGACAAACCGCGGAGACAACTTCCCTTTCTTCCCAAAACGCATAACACCCTTCATAGGAGATACTTTAAGAAGAACCTGATCCCCAACTTGAAACTCCAAATCACGAGTGCGACGATCAGCATAGCTCTTCTGCCTACTTTGGGCAGTACGCATGCGATCTCGAATAAGAGCAATCTTTTCAGAGGTATCCTTGATGAACTCAGGACCTAAGAATCGATTCTCTCCAACCTCCATCCAACAAACAGGTGATCGACACGGTCGACCGTATAACACCTCAAAAGGTGCCATCCCAATAGTCTTCTGGAAACTATTGTTATAAGCAAACTCCACAAGTGGCAAATATTCCTCCCAGTGGCCCTTGAAATCCAGAACACACGACCGAAGCATATCTTCCATAATCTGATTCACCCTCTCAGTCTGTCCGTCAGTCTGAGGATGATAAGCAGTACTAAGGTGTAACTCCGTACCTAAAGCCTGCTGAAAACTCTTCCAAAATCCAGATACAAAGCTCGAATCCCTGTCCGATATAATAGACAATGGAATGCCATGTAGCTTCACAATCTCTGAAATGTAAAGCCTCGCCAACTGCTCCGAAGTGTAATCAGTGCAAATAGGCAAGAAATGAGCTGACTTGGTCAACCTATCCACAACGACCCATATGGAATTATGCCCCTTGAAAGAATTTGGCAACCCTTCTACAAAATCCATAGATATGCTCTCCCATTTCCACTCCGGAATTGGTAGTGACTGTAGAGCTCCTGGCGGCCTCTGATGATCAATCTTAACCATCTGACAAGTACTACACTGAGAAACAAAAAGAGCAATGTCCCTCTTCATACCTGCCCACCAAAATTGCCGCTTCATATCTTGATACATCTTATCGCCTCCTGGATGAACAGAGAACTCAGAGTGATGAGTCTCAGTCATCACATCCTTCCTCAAATTATCAGCAGAAGGTACCACTAACCGTCCCTTGTACCTTAAACCTCCATCAGCCCCAACATGGTAGAATGGAACCTCTCCGGAAGCTATCCCTGTGACCTTGTTGACACATTGCTGATCAGTGAGTTGTGCTTGTAAAACCTTGCGAATGATGGAAGGTGTAACCACCATGCAAGCCATAAAAGCATCTGACAACTCATCTACATTCTTCAAAGCATTCCACTCAGTAGTGAATAGAGCAGAAAGACTACCAACGGGTCGGCGACTGAGTGCATCCGCCACCACATTCGCTTTCCCTGGATGGTACTGTATAGAGAAATGATAGTCTTTTACAAACTCCAACCATCTGCGCTGTCTCATATTCAGCTCCCGCTGAGTGAACAAGTACTGCAGACTCTTGTGATCACTGAATAATCTGAAAGACTCACCCAACAGATAATGCCTCCAAATACGCAAGGCAAAGACCACTGCTGCCAATTCCAAATCATGTGTCGGATAATTAAGCTCATGAGGCTTAAGTTTCCGAGATCCATAAGAAATTGGTCGCTCCTCCTGCATCAATACACATCCAAGACCCTGCAACGATGCATCCGTATAAACAAGATACTCTATCCCGCTTTGCGGAGTAGCCAGAACCGGTGCAGAAGTCAACTTCCTTTTCAGCTCATCAAAAGCCCGCTGACAGTGCTCATCCCACACGAACTGTACACCCTTCTTGGTCAGATGAGTGAGTGGTCCTGCTATCTTGGAGAACCCCTGGATGAATCTCCTGTAATATCCTGCCAGACCGAGAAAACTCCGAATCTCTGTAGGTGATGTAGGCTGTCCCCACTCAACCACCGCCGAAACCTTGGCCGGATCCACTGCGATCCCCTTTTCTGACACCACGTGACCCAGAAATTTCACCTCCCGCTGCCAAAATTCACACTTCTCGAACTTGGCATACAACTGGTGTTCACGAAGCGTCTGCAAGACTATGCGAAGATGTCTAGCATGATCGTCCTCCGACCGAGAATAGATCAAGATGTCATCAATAAAGACAATAACAAATTGGTCCAAATAAGCCCGGAAGACTCTATTCATTAAGTCCATGAACACTGCAGGTGCATTAGTCGTCCCAAACGGCATAACACGAAACTCATAAGAACCATATCTCGTGAGAAACGCTGTCTTAGGAACATCCTGCTCCCTAACCCTCAGCTGATGATACCCAGAACGCAGATCAATCTTGGAGAAGTATGTGGCTCCCCTTAACTGATCAAACAAGTCATCAATCCTGGGCAAAGGATACTTGTTACGAATCGTAACCTTGTTCAACTCCCTGTAATCTATACATAGACGAAGCGAACCATCCTTCTTCTTCACAAACAGAACCGGTGCTCCCCAAGGTGATGTACTCCTACGAATAAAACCCTGGCTGAGTAACTGCTGAATCTGATCCCTCAGCTCTCTCATCTCCACCGGTGCCATCCTATAGGGTGCCCTAGCAATAGGCGCAGTGCCTGGAGCTAAGTCTATCACAAAATCGATCTCGCGACTAGGTGGCAACCCTGGAATCTCCTGAAATACATCCGGGAAATCCTGTACAATTGGTATGTTATCCAATGACACAGTAATCCCCTCATCCTTTTCCTTCTCTACATGGAACAAATAGGTGCTACCGCCCCCTTTAGAACGTGGCATAGCTACTACATACATATCTTGACCAGGTATGGTAAAAAGAAGAGACCTATCAAAACAATCAACTTGGGCATGGTAGTGAGACAACCAATCCATCCCAAGTATCACGTCATAAGTGTGCATGTCCAGGACCAATAGATTGGCTAGAAATCTGAGTCTGCCAATATCTAGTGTCACAGGCCCATCACTCTCATGTATAATAGCTGTATCACCCAATGGTGTAGAAATACCCTGAGGTCTAGTGCATACCCTCGTCCTCATCCCAGATAAAGCAACAAAAGTCCTAGCTACAAATGAGTGTGTAGCACCCGTATCAAATAAAACACGTCCATGTAAACCATGAATAGGAAACTTACCCTCAATAGTCTGAGGTGCCTGAACATCCTGTGGCTTGGGGTTATACACCCTGCCATAATGCAACTGCTGTGGCGCCTGTCCCTGAGTTTGCGGCGGTGCCGGTAAAGCCAGATGTGTCTGTCCCTGAATTCGTGGAACCTGTGGAGCTGGTAGAGGCACTGGCCCCCTCTGTCCCTGCTGCACATACTGTCCCTGTCCCTGTCCCTGTCCTGCTTTAGGACACTGCCTGGTGGTATGACCATACTCTCCACAAGTGTAACAACTACCCTGGAAAGTACCAAATGGCCTCCTCTGTCGGTTAGCCTGTGGCTGACCCTGTCCTGCCTGTGGTCCCCCATTCTGTTGCCTCTGAATAGGTGCCCCATTCCGATGAGCATCTGAACCACCCTTGTGCTTCTTCCAAGGCTGTTGCCCTTGAAACTTGCCTTTGTCATTCTGCCGGTGACCATTGCCATTCCCCTTTTCAGCTGACTGATTAGTAGAGTCTTTATCTCCCCGCTTCTCACCACGAGCCTGTCTGATGTCCACAGTCAACTGATACTGTTGTAGAGCGGCGTCTACCACCTGAGCATAGGTCGTATAGGCTGGATTACCTGTAATAGCTCTCTTGATAGACCACATCAGTCCTTTGACAAAACTGTTGCGCTTCTTTTCCTCTGTATCCACCTCCTCCGGTGCAAAGAGAGACAAGCGTGTGAACTGCTGCTCATACTCCGCCACTGTCATGTTTCCCTGCTGCAGACTTAGAAACTCGGTCTTCATAGCTGCCCTGACTGCATAGGGAAAATATTTCTCATCAAAGCGAGCACTGAACTCATCATAAGACAATGTCATCCTCTCCTCTGAGGTGGTAACTGACTCCCACCACTGTAGTGCATCCCCAACTAACTTGAAAGTAGCAAGCATCTGCTTCTGAACCTCCGTGCACTGAACCAAACGAAGATGACGCTCAATGTCCTGTTTCCACTGGTGAGCTGCTCTCGCATCGGTTGAGCCTGAGAACACAGGTGGACTCCCCTTTGTGAAAGCGCTCCTAGCCTTTCCCCAAGAATCCGTCTGAACCACTGGTGCTGGTACAGGTGCCTGCTGAACCTGTGGTTGGTTTCGGAGTGCAGCTGTTACCCCAGCCTCTATAGCCCGAGCAACGAGGTCATTGAGGTGAGGAGGAATCTCTGGATCTCTGTCCCGACCCTGAGTCTGTTGAACTTCCTCCTGCTCCTCCTGAAACCCTGGCATTTGCTGCTCTTCTTCCATTTGCTGACGCTGTAGGAGATATTGTTGCCTACGTGCCGCTCTCCTTTCCTTCCTAGTTCCTTACATGTTCTGTCCATTTCTAGCGTTAACCATCTGTTAACACGAAAAGACAGACATCAGTACTATTTCTATACGAACCATAAGGAATACAATGAATCCTAACTTAAGCTCTATTCAAGAGAACGCTACGCGGAAGACTTAATACGAAAACATCCTAGAGACACTTGAACCTGGAGTGCTCTGATACCAACTGTGATACCCCTCGGATCCGAGACACGGGTTGATCAGGCCCAGGCCCAAACCCGAGGGAGTATCAAACAATTAATATTTTATAACGAACACAGAATACAAAATGAATTAAGAAATGAAAGTTTAAAGCTGAAAAGAAACTAAAAGATAATCCTTAAATAATTAAATACTTAAATTTGATAAACCAAATATCCATAATTTGAACAACTCGGGAATCCATCTCTAGTGGACCCCTAATAAAAGTCTCACACTAAATGAAAGTAAAATAAAAGATAAAACCCAAATCCAAGATCTGGAAAGAAACCCTACATCTTCGGTAGAATGGAAGATCGTCTCTGCTCTGCACGAACAAGCTCAAGCCTGGAACTGACGTACACCTGAAAAATAGGAGTGGGTCAGGCCCACGAACAAGTTCTAACCTACTACAATCCAAGCAGAGACTCGATACGCATGTACATACTAAATAGTTCAACAATAACTAATAATCCGTACATAAATATCCACACTACTGGACTCTCGCTAGGCCATGAAGGGGGTCTCAACCTGGATAGAAGGCATCACACAATACGCACCTGAGTGGGTATGAGTACCTAAACCTAAACAGGGTATACCTCAACCTTCACCGTCAGCTACACATCCAACTGCATATACGCACCCTAACCGTCGACACTGAGACTCAAGCTTATGACACGGTAACATAAAAATATATCTAAACTCCGTTTCTATCCATCCACCAGAACTCCAATAAGTCACTCGGCGTAGTCAACCGTACCGACTTATATATATAAGGAGGATTGTATTTTATAACCCGTGCCCTTACTCCAAAATAGGTAGGACTTAGCAATTTGAGCTAATCCAAACCCAGTATGTCACCGTCCCATACCGGTACATACAATCCAATCCGTCCAATAGTTGATAAAGCATCGATAATTATAACAACAATATCAACAATTCCATACTACACATAATAGAATGCATTAGCAACCATTCTTAAAAATACCAATAATTGATTCACATTGAAAATATAAATATCAATGTCAACTACTCCTTACTATGCATATTGAAATAGATAATCAACATGCTTATTTACATTTACAGTTGACAAAATAATGACCATATAAATGTCAATACCAACAGTTCCAAACTAAACATGTTAGAACAGATTAACAAACATGCTTAAGTAAGCCAATTCAGAATCCATAATTTGATCATACAGGGCTTTATTTATAATGATGACCTATTCCCAGTTTCCATAGAATTAACAGAGCCTAAATAGATATTTTCCCCCTCACATCCATAGCATGCAGAATAAATATAAGTAATCTATTATACTTATAGTTTCCTGTCCAACAACTTGCCGCACCAACCGTTAAATTTAATCATCAACTAATTTTCAGTGAAATATAAATTGTTTTAGCATAGTTTCTATTGTCATGAACATATAATTCAAGTGGACAAGCTCTCACAGAAAATTTCTAATATAATTAAGAAATTAGAAACTCCAAATCTACACAGTCTACAAGACCTTCGTAATTAACTCCATGTAATCCTAATGGTTAACGTTTTGTGTCCAATTTTATATAATCTGGTCTTTGCATATTTATGTTTACCCTAGACCACTCCTAAATCACCCATTACAGTATTCATTCACCAATAAACACATTAAAACAATCACTAGGAAGCCTAATCACTGAAAAAATTTGAAAAAACAACCCACAGAATCAAAACTCACGCATAAACAACCGGGAGCCGGCTCCAGAATATTGGAGCCGCCTCCAATGGCCCTGGAGCCGGCTCCTAGACCATTGGAGCCGCCTCCAGTCCAAGGGGAGCCGGCTCCAATCCAATAGGAGCCGGCTCTCTCCCTCCTCTTCTTCGTGTTCTCCTCTCCGGTCGCCGTTTACGCCTCCCACACTTCACAGTAGAGGTTTTCAGAGAGTTTCAATTAATCCTAGGAGATTCCAGTCCTTAACTCAGTCCTTATTATGCTACTAATATGGATTAAACCAAGAATTAAATAAGACAGTTCAAAGTTTAACAGTTTACAAGTTTTAAACCAAAATCAGTTTCAGTTACACTCTAGGCATGACACAGACAACGTCTTTTATTTTTTTTTACATGTAATTCATCCTGGAACCATTGAGTATGCAAAGAACACGAGTATAAGGGAGAGAGTAAGGTTAGAACTTGCCTTGTGAGATTTTTGTTAAAATCTCTACGTTGTCGTCTACACTCGCCGGCGACTCCTACTGCAACTTCCTCTGTTCCTCGTTTCTAATTCCACAGACGTGTTTTGGTTGTATTATTTTGTTCCCTAAGCAGACTTATCTTATATATTTATAGGCAACCAAAACCCTAAGTCCAATTATACCTACAGTCTGAAACGAGGCCCATAAACTCAACCTAGGTTATAAACCTTGTCGGCTCCTTAAATAAACCTAAACCTAAACAGAACTAAAACCCTAACCACACTTTTTTTTACCTAGTCACAAATTAAAACATGTAATTACTAATTTAACAATAAAAATTCCAAGTTAACTACTAATTCAATTAAAGAAACAAATAAAAATTCCAATTAATGTAAAGAATGCAAATAATTAATTAACCCAAAGAAAACAAATAAACTAACTAATTAATTCAAATAACACTGAACAGAAAACAATTAAACAAATTAATGTCAAATAACACTGAACAGAAAACAATTAAACAAATTAATGTCAAATAACACTGAACAGAAAACAATTAAACAAATTAATGAACCAAAAATAATTAATAAACAGAAAACAATTAAACAAATTACCGAGACTATCCTTTCAAAAATTAGGGGTATTACAAAAAGAGAAAGAGAAAGAAGCTTGGACCGGTGTAGGCGATTTTACCCGACTACGCGCAGACCGGCGGATTTATTTTAAATCCAAAAAGGCAAGTTATTATCTACTTTTTCCCTTTGAATCCATAAATTAATTGTTTAGATTATTTAAATAATTATAGAGCTTAGAGATCATGCTAGGAAATTATTAAATTAATTTTTTTTATTTATTAAAGAAAGGAATTTTAATTATTAAAGGTGGTCAACAATTATTTTATGGCCTATGTAATCAAAATATAGCTAAAATTAATTATTATGGCCTTTGGGATTTTTTTTAGAATTTTTAGGAATTTTCCGGGGCTTTTCTGCAATTTCCGGCGAGCCTCCGGCAAGGATTCCGGCCACCGGCAGTGAAGAAGATGACCGGAGTGATCCGGTGTGATGCGGCGCATGGTAGGTTAGTGCGCGCGTGCATCCTGGCCATTAGTAGAGTCTGATTGATCCGGTGCATCGCGGTCCATGTTACCGAGGTACACCCGGATCCATGAGCACAGGATTGAGTGATGAGAGGGTGAGATGATTCAGTGTAGCGCACCCATAGTAGGATGATGCAACCACTGAATCAGGAGCCGCCGCGTCAGCAAGTTACCATTAGTGCGCGCGTGGCAGCGCGTGCGCGCTCGTGGAACGCTCCAGACGCGCGTGGGAGCGCGTGCGGGCGCGTGGCTGATGCCAGACGCGCGTGGAGGCGCGTGGGAGAGTGGGAAAGCTTGGCAGTGCGCGTGGGGAGGCTCTGGGAGGCGCGTGAGGGCGCGTGTGGGGTCTCTACAGCTACTGCAAATTACCAGAATACCCCTAGGGCCTGTTTTGTAAATTCCAGAACCTTAAACTTGGATTTTTAGGTACTGAGTTGGTATTTACGGGTTTAACGGGCCACGAAATTATTATTTTAATACCCGTTAATTATTCTTGTTGCCAATTAGTCTTTTCTAAGCATTTATTTGCTCGTTCACAGTACAGATACTAATGTGATTTATTTAACGACATTGTTAAATATAAATAGTGTTATTATCTTATTAAATGGTATCAACCATTACTGATAAATTAAATAAGGCCATGGTTGTAGTCAGATAAATTATCCATGATATCTTATGGGATGTTTATACTGTTAATTGATATATAAACCATGATCATTATGCTGTGTGCATTTCAGGAAATAAATGGACTGTTTAATTATGTCGCATTTATATTATATGGATGTGTTGCCATATAGAACCATATGAGCTGGCTAATAAGTTTAGACTCATTTATACCTTATGCATTCGTTGCGATAGACAGATGTGTGGCTGTCGGGGTATGTGGTTTAATATTATTGGCATGTGTTGCCTAATTGACATACTCGGTATATTTATTAATATTGTTGGCATGTGTTGCCTAATTGATATGCTCAGTATATTCATCAGTACTTTGAGAGGTGTTATCACTGTGTAGTTCGTTATAGTCTGTGTTGTCAGTACCGTGCACCATATATAATAGCTGATTTCCTAGGTAGGGAAAGGCGACACTTGACCGCCTAGTGTGAGTCTAAGTGATCACCGTCTATTCTGGTTGAGGTCATGTTATACATTGGATAGTTCCCTTAGGATGTATACAGATATAGTACTCAACCGATTCATAATGATTAATTTATTTGATTATCTGATTTGGGTCATAGTAGAGAGGACTTGCTCGTGGGGTTGACCCACCATTGTTGTTATTTCAGGATACGGTCAGTATCCGTTTCAAGGTTGAGGTTAGCAGTGTGGGACCACCATCCGAACTCATCTACTCTTACGATCCAGTTCAGGGTAGAAGTTTTATGTATTACTTCAGTTTCAGTTTTTATTTACTTTTGATGTTAAACTCTCAGGGTTATATTTAGGGATCCTTGACATAGGATTTCCAAGTTGTAATGAAGTACGATATTAAATAAAGGATGGATGGATGTTGTATTATTTAGTGTTCCTTTCCTGTCTAAATTCTTTTATTTCCATCATTTTGTATTCCATGCTTGTATATTACCAATTGTTTTTGATATCCCTCGTTTTTCGTGTATAAGCCTGATCAACTTATGCGTGGAAAATGTGGGGGTGTTACAATTATCTTAAATTTGTGTCAACTAGAGATAGAAAAAGGTATTTCATTCTTTTTATCAATGATTGCACAAGATGATGTTATCTATATCTATTACGAAGCAAAAATAAAGTCTTAGAAATGTTTAAACATTATAAAAATGAGGTTGAGAATCAACTTGACAAGGTGTTAAGTACTGATAGAGTTCGTGAATACGAATCATCATTTGCTGATATTTGTTCAGAACATGATATCATTCATGAAGACAGGATGAATGCTATATTAATAAATTCTGATTTAACTCAAAATTTGTGGGGGGAAGTTTTTTTTCCGCAAATTATGTTCTCAATAAAATATCTTAAACTAATGTGATACCATATGAATTATGGAAAGGTCGAAAACATTCTTATAAATTCTTAAAAGTGTGGGGGTATTTAGCTAAGGTTGTAGTTCTTACTCCTAAGAAAGTTAAAGTGGGACCTAAAATGTGGCAACCTTGTGGGTGGGTGTGCCGTGAGCGGGTGCAAGAGGCACCGACAGGCTACAACACCAGGCAAACTATAGGTGTACAGTCCCACATCACTTAGGGAAGGAAAATGTGAAGTGCTTTTATGTGGTAATGTTATCTCCAATTGGTATGAGGCATTCTAAGATAAAACCCAAGAATAAAATCATGCGGGCTCGAGCCCAAAGCGGATAATATCATACCATGTGGTGGAGTAGATTGTTACACAAAACTTTTGATAGGTTATGCTTACAATAGTAGTGTGTATCGTTTTCTTGTGCATAAATCATATAATGAAAATGAGGATAAACTTAGATGTAGCAAGAGGGCTAGAACATCTAAATCTTTTGGTTCTAATTTTCTAGTATGTTTATTGGAGAATGAGCCACAAAGCTTTAGGGAAGCAAAGTCTTCTTCTGAATATTATTATTAAATTATTTTTTAGATTAATTATGTGATATAATATTAAACTATATTGTTATATTTATTTATGCGAGTTCAATATTATTTTGAACTATGGAGTTGAATTACTTAGTGTGCATAGTAATTCAATCTTACAATATAATTTATTTAATGTGTGATATTATTAACTCTGTATATGAGTTCATGACTGGTTTGTGTATTTAATACAATAAACAAAAATTGACTAGTCTAACTATGTCAATTCTCCCGATAGTCGAGGGAAAAAGATCTATACTAGTATTTAAAGACACGTATAGCTGTGAATGGGCTGAATAAGATAAGATTTTCCGATAACTTTAAAGTGTTTAATGGAAAATGTTATGGATACAGTAAACAAGCTAAATCAAGCTAGTTAGCTATAATGTACAATTTAGCTAAAAACTAAAATGTTACTGAGTTGCAAACTAGTTAGCTTAGCCATAAGTTAAAATGATTAATGAGGTGCACAGAACCTAAGAGGAAGATGAAAATCTGTTAGTTGGTTCTTACTCTCTACTTAGTAGTAAAAAAAATATAAGGGTGATGAGTAGCCATTTTAGCCATAAGCTATTTGAGTTATATATCATATCTACTCATATAGGAGGGAATAATATTACTTGTAAAGTAGTAATTTTTGAAGAATATTTTTCAAAACAAATTACTCTACTACCAAGGTAAACTACTTAGTTAAGTGTGTACTAAAGTTAAAAGTTACTATAATTGATAACTGAGCAAACTTAACTTCAAACTAGTGGTGATAGTTGAGAAGTGAGTGCTCACTTTGTGGTGATGTATTCAAAGCTTAAACAATAAGTGAGTTATTTGCTTAAATGGTTGAGTTATGTGATGTGTGACACATGAAAGGTTATGACATGTTAGGATGACTGACTTAACATGAACCTAAACATGAATAACTCAATTCATAAATACAAGAGATGTAGAAGCAAATATTATTTAAAGCCCCTTGTAATTAATATCTCTAGTTTTAATTCACAGTAACGTCTGTGACATATTATAAGAACAAGCCAGAGATAAAGTGAATATATATGCACTAAAGACTGTTATGCATGCTTGTTGAAAAACGAATATAGAACTTTGGAAAGGTAGATGAGGTGAAATATTTAATATATGGTATTTCAAGAGTTGAAAAACCATAAGAAATATATCATATATAAAATTTCAGGATTATCCCAAAGTTGTGGGGGGATATTGTCCATAGATAAAATTTACT